TTTTTCCTTTGTGACCTTGAAATAAATAAAAAAAAATCTCGACTGGGCAAAGATTAAGTGGCACAATGATGGGTGTGTAAGGAGGACATGCTTAGGGGCTGAGGTCGTCGTAAGGGCCACGCAGAGATGCTCGAGCAGTTGGGAAAGCATCCATTGAGCTTTTCCCTGTGGTGAATTTGGGGAAACTGGTCAGGTTCCTAAGGGAATCCCTTCAGCAGTCTTTACTCTAGGATGAAACCTTCTGCCCCCGGTGTTTTGTGTAGATTGTCATGTTTTGTGAGGATTCCTCCCTTTAATGCAGCACGTATATCCTGTGCGCCCTTTGCCTCATTTTACTGCTTGGCAACATGACCATGGTTCAAAAGGATTTCGAATAGAATGTTAGAAATTGTGTGGGAGACTCTTCCTGGTGCCTGTTGACTCAAGCCTGGTGACAGTCCCCACAAGTTAGAGTCATTGCAAGGGAGGATGGCAAATGTGATTCTCCAGTGTGACAGGGTCCCTCCTGGAAGGAGGCTTTCTTATTAATGGAGAGAATGAGAAAGACACCACACACACACACACACACACACACACACACATGCACGCACGCACGCACACGCCCGCTCGCATGCACGCGCGCGCGCACACACACACACACACACACACAGAGAGAGAGAGAGAGAGAGAGAGAGAGAGAGAGAGAGAGAGAGAGCAGTAGGAGCAAGAATCTTTGGAAACACACACTGACACACTGCTCTCTTTACTTTTAGTGAGGGCTCGACCCCTCATGATTCTTATTTTCTCACTGAGAGGAGCCACTGGTTTACCACACACCCACCAGCCACCTCTTCCACTCAGCAACCCAGCTACTTCCCCTTTCTGCCAGCTCCCTTGAGAGCCAACTTCTCCAACACATCTCTAATGGTCTTCTTTTCCTCCTAGTCTTAATAGAATATACTTCAGTCAGGTTTCTGTTTCTGAAACAGTGTTGTCGTGGTTACCAATCATTACCATGCAATCAAATCCAGGGCCCTCATCATCTTACTACCTACCCCAAGTCTACATCAGCTCCACGCAGTTCCCCCCCCCCCCCCGCCCCCTTCCTAGAAACCTTTTCCTCTCGTGTTTCTCTGCAAACCATAGCCTCTTGATACTCTCTCCTAACCTCCCAGGCATCTCTCATCTGGTCTTTTTCCTCAATCTTCTTGACCTCTTGGTCTGGGAAACACCTCAAGTTTAACATTCTTCTTGAAAATTCTAGGTCTCCTCACCCGCTAGTCTCCCACAGCCCAGCTAGTGGCAAATATGTCATTGCAAAATTTTGAGATTATTATTGTCTTCATCTTGGTTTCCCATCTCACACTTGATCAGTATGTCCTGTTGGCCTCTTCCAAACATGTCAATAACTGGCCACTTTCCACCAGTATGCTGGTTAGGACCCAAGTCATACCTCACTGGAACCCAGTGTCCCATGAAATTACACTTTATATTCTTGCTTTCTTAATAGAACTTTCTTCTAAACACAGCAGCTAAAGTAAGCTTTCAAAAACATGGCAATGTTTTGTTTATGCTATTTTCTTGTCTCCTGTAGTAAGGAGAGAGCCTCTTGTTGGTTCCCGGCTGCCTGGCTAGCCTAGACCCGAAATAATCACACAAAACTGTATTAATTAAATCACTGCTTGGTCCATTAGCTCTAGCTTCTTATTGGCTAATCACTTACATATTAATTTAACCCATTTCTATTAATCTGTGTATTGCCACGTGGCTGTGGCTTACTGGCTAAAGTTCCGGCATTTGTCTCCAGCCAGACTACATGGCTTCTCCCTGACTCCGCCCTTCTTCCTCCAAGCGTACAGCCTAACTTTCCTCACCTAGTTCTGTTCTTCCATGCCATAGGTGCAAAGCAGTTCTTTATTCATTAACCAATAAAAGCAGAACACAGACAGAAGGACCTCCCACACCAGTCTCACTTAGGATGAAACCCAAGCTCAACTTCTGAAGACAGACTGGAGCATCCTTCATCATCTGGCTCCTTGGCTCCTGTGATCTCACCTCATTCTGCTCATGCTTCACTGTGCTCTAGCCACACAGACCTGTTTGCTGTGTTACAAACAGGGCAAGCCCGTTTTCACTGCAGGGTGCCTGTGGGATCTACTTTCTGAACCAGGGTTCCTTCAGCAATGCAAACCCATACTGCTTTATGCAGGAGCCTGCCCAGGAGCCTCTCAGGGAGCTGGTTTCAGACTCCCCTCTATGAGGACACACCGACTTTTGTGTCTCTGTCACTGTCATCTGCTGTGTTTTTGCATGGCCCTTAGTATCACCTGACAGATTTATTATTTGTTTCTTTATTGCCTGGCTTCCTATTAGAATGTAAATTTCAGTCAAGAGAGACACATTAACTGTTTTATTTTTCCATTACTGTATTTCCAACATGTAGATAGTGCCTGGTGTATATAGTAGACACTCAAAAAGAATAAATTAAGTAAATAATTTCTCTTGGTGACTGATGTCACACATCACCTGAGTGTCTTATGGGATGAGCTGCAGACCAAATAGAGTTGGTTATAACTCTTTTAATGTGCTGCTCAAAGCCCGCCCAAACACATGGTGTGCTGTTTTGGTATGAGCGCTGCAAGACTCGTGGAAGGCGTGAGGACCAGCGCTTGAACCCTGGAAACCATATAATATTAAAGCTGAGCACAGCGACACACATTTGTAATCTACCTTTGAGTAGGCAGTTGCAGGGGGTCTCTGTGATTTTCACAGCCAGCAGAGTGAAAAGCCACCGGAGGCACGAAGGCAGTTCTGCTCACCAGGGCGCAGCAGCCAGCACTGGTTCACACATCTGGAATCTGACCCTGAGTAGTTTATTTCAGGCATATTCAGGCACAGCACAATTTTGTGAAAACGATTCTGGTGATAATGAACTCAGTCCTGCATGCACAGCAAAGCTTACAGAAATCTTGCAGAAATCAGACCTGGCTGCATTAAAACTCTTTGTGAAGTCCATAAAGATAAGTTCTATAGATTGAGAAAAGCAAGTTTACAGCGATGGTCTGGAGGAGGGTCTGGTCTCTAGGTCACCAGGTTAGTGAGTACATAGGCTTCCAGCCTTCTGGGGGATCACAGAATTGCATTCCTTCCCTTGAAGGGACAGCCCTGTGTGCTGAAGATTCCAGGCTCCCCTAGTGAGCACAAAGGCCTCTCTGTCTCCTACAGAACCCTATGATACTTGAGATAATTATTTGGCTTCCATATTATTTGTGTGCACAATTATTTGGTTTCCATATTATTTGTACGTGCATGCACGCACACACACACACACGCACGCACACACACACACACTACAAAGTAGACATTAGGAACACAGAGTATCTTCCAATCAGCTGAAGGCCTTATGACCAACCACCTTCAAGGAGAGATGCTCTGTCAGCAGGTTGCCTTTGGATTTGAACTTCAGACCTAACTCTTGGGGCTCTTGGCCTGCCCTACTAAATTGATGTTTGTCAGTTTCCACAGTCTCATGAACTAAGGCTCCAAATAAGTCTTTTTCTTTACCTCCTTCTCCCCCATTCCTGTTTCTCAACACACACACACACACTTCTTTTGGTTCTGCTTCACTGGATAGCCCAACCTGGCCAGTGTTGGGTCCTCTCATATCAATCATTAATCAAGAAAATGCCACACAGCTGATCTTATGGAGACATTTTTCTCCATTGGGATTCTCTCTTCATATATGCTTCCAGCTTATGTCAAACTAACGAAACCTAGCAAGCTCAGGAGACTTAACTCAGGAAAGAATGGATTGATCTAGCTCCTTTCTCTGTTACCTGGTGCTATAAGAATGGGAAGTCCAAAGGAGAGTATAAGAGATGCAAATGAGGCAGGGTCATTGGCTGGAAGAGGCTACTGGGTGGATGAGGTGAGCAGAAGGCACATGGGACTGTTCTGAGGGAGGCGTATGTGAGGACTGGGAATGCAAGGAGGTGTGCCTGCACCAGGTAGGGCAAAGGATGAAGTCAATGCTGTGCAACTTATGCCTATTATAATGGATCATGGAGAGTTGCCAGACAGCTCAAACACAGGAGGTGCTGTGTGATAATGCTGGCTGAGTGGTAGAAAATAATGACGATTTATCCCCCAAAAGGCTGTGTGGGTGCAAGGAGAATGAAACAATGGAGGAAAAGTCAGAACGCCTATGGCTGCTGTCAGCTACCTTGCGCTCAGAGCTGGCCTCTGTACAGAGTTGCACAAGGGAAGGAGCTGGGAGGGAGCTGGACAGGGTAACATTTTTTTTTTTTCTTCACATTTTGTTACGAATTCCAGGGTAGTGTGGAAAGCAAGACAAGAAGAGAGTGATTGGTGTTGCTGCTCGGCCTGTTTTCTGCCTTTTTGTAGTCCTGGAATCCTATCCCAGGTGTAGCGGTTTGATTGAAAGTGGCCCCCATAGGCTTATAGGAAGTGGTACTATTTGAAGGTGTAGCCTTGTTGGAACAGCTGTGGCCTTTTTAGAGGAAGTATGTCACTGGCTTTGAGGTTTCAAGTACTCAAGTCAGGCCCAGTGTCTCTCTCTTCCTGCTACCTGCTGATCCAGATGTAGAACTCTCAGCTACATCTCCAGTGACATGTCCTACCATCACAGCCATGCTTCCTACTGTGAAGATAATGGATTAAATCTCTGAACTGTAATCCAGCCCCAATGAAATGTTTTCCTTTATAAGAGTAGCTGTGCCATGGCCTCTCTTCTCATTAATAGAACCAGGGAATGGTGCCACCTCTTTTTATGGTGGATCTTTCCACTGCAGTTAAGTTAACCAAAGCAACCCGTCAAAGACATGCCCAGAGGTGTGTCTCTTTGGTGACTCTAAAGGTTGTCAGGTTGACAATGTTAACCATCACTCCTTTTCTTGCTGGGTTACAGTGCTTAATCAAGCTCACTGGAACATGATCCTCTTACCACGGTCTTTGAAGCTTAAATCTTGTGTTAGGTACCGGCCTCTTCAGTCCGGAGTCCTGCATCCTTCATTTCTTTATCATCGGTGTAGCATAGAGTCCCTGGTACAGGAAGGCACTTCTATACATAAATGAAAATGCAAAGAGGGATGATATTATACAAATATCATTTTCAAATATACTGGGATGTGATCACTGCTGGGGTTAGGTGTGTTTTTATTAATTTCTTCATGGAAATTATATGTTGTGGTACGAGACTCTGATTTCAGAGTGTGGGAAGGTGAGACTGGAGGGTCATGAGTTCAATGCCAGCCTGGCTGCCAAGAGGCTTTATCTCAAAAAGCAAAAAGCTTTGCTTCTTGTAGAGTGAGAGGAACGTGGCTGTGCACAGTGTGCATTCAAGCTAGGTTGTGTAAGTTGAGTAGCAATGTACTCTGCAGGGATGCACACACCTTCACATGTGGGTTGGGTCCCTGTAGAGTGCAGACTGGTATTCCTCCTGTTTGCTTTCCCCAGGAACTGTCAGATTCTTATCTGGAATGACCGTGAAAATCATTCGTTTTACTTTTGTGGCGAAAAGACATTGGGTTCTAGTAACAATGGAAATGTCCTTATCCCAGGAAGATTTCCAGTACACCAGAAAATCCAAATCCATATTCTTCAAGTGACGTGTGAAGTTTTCATGCAGACTGTGAAAGAGCTCCACCTGCTTTCTATTAGCTTACTTCAAAGTGAAACTAGTTGGTCTTTTCACTATTTTAATGAGCTGTTTTCTTGGTTGCTTGCAACATTTCTTTTTCTACAGTTGAGCAAATGTATTAGAGGCATGCAGAAATCTCTCAAACTTGGTTGTTGACTTTACCGAGAGCTTTGTTATTAATAATTTCTTAGTAAGAAGTTCTTTAATTCTCCTGGTTTGAGGGGTAGAACCTTTCAAATATCAAAGGAGGAAGAGAGAGGCACAGCAAAGCTCTGTAAACACTGGGGGATGCTGTAGGATGCTCTCTGGCCTTGATGTGGCTCTTTCAAAATACATCAAAGGGGAGCAACAGGAAGTAATCACTACAAGCAGGAACTGCAGATTGTGGTGTGGGTATCTTTCTTGGTTGGGATCTTAAGTCATTGCTCTGCTGGACAGAAATGATTGGGAGCAGAAATGCATGTATTTTACTCATAGGGAAAGCAAGGAATAATTGTATCTTTTAATTTGATTTCATACTGGCAGATCTATTGACAAGACAAAAAAATAAAGGCAAGTCTCCCTTTTGGGGAGTAGAAATAATATGATTTAGTCTGACTGTCTGCAATAAATTCACATTTCTCGGTTAACTTATCTCTGTGCACCAGAAGTACCTATGTGCAGCTGCCTTAGACAAGGCAGATAAAGTTGGGCTTGTTGGTACTGTGTTGCTAAAGTACAAATTTGCTGAGTAAGGGTTGGTCATAGACTGAGAAATGATTAAAAAAATAAAGATCACTTGAAATCCTTTGAAATGCACAGTTACATTCAAAAATAACTTCCTGATTTTTTGTTGTTGTTTGTTATTTTTTGTTATTTTTCTAAAGCAAAGAGTAGAGAATGAACTCTGCTGGTTTTCAGTAGGTTTTCCCATGGCCTTAAAAGTCTCAAGACTCTTTCAAAATTGTAGGAAAAGAAGAGAGACAACAGCAATCGGATATGATGACTGCCGTAAGTAGCCTGGTGCAGAGTAGAGAAAAACAAGCAGATTTGTCTGCAGGAGGGAGCATGGCCACATGGCTCTTCTGGAAGCTGATTTCCTTGGGGGCTTTTGGCTTGAAGGATAAGCAAGCATTCGATTGCTAGAATTGCCATCTGAGTGATACTGGGCTATTTTAGAATAAGTTGCAACCTGGTAATTATCTCTGGTTCTGATTGATGGATTAGAGGCTGGGAAAAATATTAGCTGTTGATGATTCTTATTTCTGGATCATTATGAAGGACAGATGCTTATAGATCAGAAGTAATTTGAAAATCTAAACTAAAAAAAAAAATTCCCATTTGGCATTCCCAAGTCAAAAGATGTAGATTATCCTGACAAAGTCTTGATCAAGTTGATTCTAGCTGGCAGAGGTAGACCAGAAGTTTCAGGGAGATGGGCTGTTTGTGACTCGGTACAGCAAATATTTTGTACTAGATACCATCTGTAATCTTGTTTGGAAGACACTGATGGAACTCCATTCAGATGCTTTTGATGCACAAACTGCATTGTCTTGGTCAAGTAGTCCTTGTACACACAAGCTGAATAGCATCCCTCATCCAGTATACACTATCCAGGATAGTGTATTTCTGCTTTGGGGCAGTAGAAGGCTCATCATAAATCTACAAACAATGATCACCACATACAGATGCGACCTAGAATGGGTAGGAAGTTAATATCATGTGGGTATTGACTATCAAAGAGCCTGATGGAAGCTGGTGCATAAATGTTTCATGCTTCTTGCTTTGGCTAAGACAAATCTGACCTACAACCCACACAGTCCCCACCAGTTCCTTAGGGATCCCTTAGCAAGGGTGAGCTGAAGCTGCCCACAGAGGTAATTCACACACCTTCCGGTCCCTTCTTACTACCTGGTTACTGCTCTCCAGGGACATTTCTAGTAAATCAATCTACAAGAAGTCATGTCTCCAGATCTGTGTTCTGGAGGGATACACTGTCTCTATACTTAACCCACAGTACAAGACCTGAGGACCATATGAAGCTACAGAAGAAGGATGAATTCAGTAGGCGCAATGGAGTGCCTTTCTGTAGGCAGCTATTATCTTAGAGAAGGGTGAGAGATCAGCTTCTATGAGAGGATGCTCTTGATTTTGGAGAGTAGTTGTTTCTTGTTTCCAATCCTTTAATTGGAGAAGAAAGTGTCAGACGTGAGGAGTGATGGATGGGTAATGAATTCTATGGGGACTAAGATCATTTACTGCTGTGTCCTGGACTCATGTGACATCTGCTCTTTGGTAGCTGCTTAGTTAAGCATGGCTAATCTGACTGGTTCCCTCTTAGAAAAGTGATGTATGAGAGAGCCATTGGCAGAACAGGGCCCAGTATCTGTTGTTACTTTGGGGGACCAGCGTGGCATCTCAGCCCATTCTGTTGATGACGGCCACTCAGATTCAAGCAAAGAATCCAACTGGAGGCCTTCCCTTGGTTTCAGAGTTCTTAAAAGCACTGGGAAGCAGTTGGGATCCAAAGTCAGCCAGAAGAGATGAGATCATAGAACATTAAGATTAGGGTGCTCGTGTAGGTTAGCTTTCTGTTCTAAACCTAATGCTTTTAATTTATTAAAAGGATGTGACGACACCCTCTGTGTGAAGTTGGATGCTCTTGCTTGATGTGTGTGGAACTCCTGGTAGAGTCTTCTCCTATTAGTGCATTTTTGTGACTCTCTATTTGCCGGACAAAGTCCCCCAGGTTGAAGAGAGTGAAGGGGAAAGAAGAGGACTAGCCAGTGCACAGCTTTGGACTCTATCCTTAAGCACCAAGGAGCTGTTTATTTTCATTGCTGAACATCCAGACACTGTCGACATGCTGTTGGGAAATCAGCATGCATGCCAGTAATCTCCTGTTTAGATAGACTTGTCTTTTGAACTTTGCTAAAGCACAGGCATTTTGGGTTTGGCCTTCCAGGTTTCTGCCACTCTATCTTCTTTTCTAGGCATTTTGCTTGCACTGTGGCTTCAGAGCCTGACTGGGAGCTGGTGGCACTTGGCATGGACTCTGTGGGGGGTGTGTTCTCACACTGACCTTTCCTGACAGCTTATCTCCTTTCCAGCTCCTGGATTAGAAGGAGCCAAGCATTCATTTGTCTGTCAAATGTTTTATTTTTGTAGCTACTGAATCTTCCAGTTCAGTAGATGCCTTCCAGGCCAGAGGCTGCTTAAATTACTTTTCAACAAAAGTTGCCCTCTAAATTCTCCTTCTTGGGAGAACGCAGAGTGTGTGATGAGGGTAGGAAGGTCTGGCAACTGAACTCTGAGACACAGTGCGAGTCTGGCTGGCTTTATTGACCATCGTGCTTTGATTTATCAAGACCCTTAGGCATTGGAAAGGATCTTTCTCCTCATTCTAAACTGAACTGTAAAGAAATGGCATTCTCACTTGGGAGAGACACTTATCCCCACGCCAGAGTGCAGAATAACTGCGGTACTCCATTGCTTTATATCCCTTCTCTTTCCAGTGACTTTGCAGCTTCTCCTGACCAGGGGTAAAACTCCTCCCCCAAATCTTGAACTTGGGCTGGATTTAGAACTCCTTTCCACAAACAGAATGCCCAAAGCGACCAAGTGTGAGGTCCCGTTACCTTGTACCCTTCACTCTTCTAGTAACGCTACCCAAAGTCATGTGCAGGAGGCCAACAGGCCTCTGGACTGAGGCCAAAACGCCATGAGGACCAGTGCGCCACAATCCTTAATGTGGGTCCTCTTTGTGGTCTTGTGTGTCTTTTTTTTTTATCTTTAAAAAAATTCTTCTATTTTTTTTTTAAAGAAAACAAACTATCATTTTTTTATTTTACATACCAATCACAGTTCTCACTTCCTCCCCTCCTTCCATTCCCTCTACCTACCCCATCCCACCCCCATCCACTCCTCAGAGAGGGGAAGCCACATTGCTTTGGGGGAAGGTCCAAGGCCCTCCCTACTATATCTAGGCTGAACAAGGTGTCCATCCAAAAATAATAGGCTCACAAAAAGCCAGTACATGCAGTAGAGAGAAATCCTGGTGTCACTGCCTGTGACCCTGCAGTCTGCCCCAGCCATACAACTGTCACCCACATTCAAAGGGACTAGTTTGGACCTATGCTGGTTCCTTTCCTGTCTGACAAGAGTTGGTGAGCTCCCATTAACTCAGGTAAACTGCTTCAGTGGGTGTCCCCATCATGGTCTTGACCTCTTTGCTCATATTCTCACTTCTCCCATTCGTTAGCTGGACTTTGGGAGCTCAGCCCAGTGCTCTGCTGCAGGTCTCTGCCCCTGTTTCCATCAGTTGCTGAATGAAGGTTCTGTGGTTGGTATTTAAGATATTCATCAATCTGACTACAGGGCAAGGCCAGTTCAGGCACCCTCTCTTCTATTGCTTTAGGGGCTTAGCTGGGGTCATCCTAGTGGAGACCTCAATATAAATATAAATCTGACCACATTGATAGAAGAGAAAGTGGGAAGTAGCCTTTAATGCATGGGCACACAAGAACACTTCCTAAATATAACAGCAGTAGCACAGACACTGAGAGCAACAATAAATAAATGGGACCTCCTGAAACAGAGCAGCTTCTATAAAACAAAGGACATAGTCAATAAGGCAAAAAGGCAGCCTACTGAATGGGAAAAAATTTTCACCAACCCCACATCAGACAGAGGACTGATCTCCAAAATATTTAAAGAACTCAAGAAATTAGACACCAAAATTCCAAATAATTCAGCTAAAAAATGGGGTACAGAACTAAGAGAATTCTCAACAGAAGCATCTCAAATGGCCAAAGGACACTTAAGAAAATGTTCAACATCTTTAGCCATCAGGGAA